ATAAATAAGGAGAGTCTTTTCTACTACTAGGGCAATCCTATAGACTAATTTTCGAGAGAGAAATCTAACTTATACTCTAGATTGATTCCACCAGAACCATAGATCACTAAAACCCAAGGCTAGCTTCTAGAGATTCTGCCTAACCTCACAAGTTGGTATTGAAGGAAGATCTTGAAAGGTTTGCACAAAACTCATTGGCGCGTACATTTCGAGGATAGTTGGTGCACCCAATATTGCTCGAGGCCTAGATGATCATTTGCAGAGGTGAATCCAAGTGAAGCTATAAATAACATTAGAGAGAAACTTTGGCGGACAGACATATTGAAGGAAGGGAGCATTTAACTATGGTATTAATTGAATTATAAAATTTGAGTCATTGTATGTTGACTTTGGGGTAGTGGATTAAATTTGGTAAATCGATAAAGGTTTTTTGTGATTTTTCCTGAGGAGGCTAATCCGCATCAACAAATCGGGTGTGTTCTTTATTAATTTTGCATATACACTTGTGACTGTTTGCATATACATGCACTATGTGTTTGTATAAATGATTGATTGATATCTATTTCATGAATAGTTGAGTATTGGGTTCTGAGATTGAGTGTTTAATTAAAAAATTAACAACATCAATTCTCATGGGTAAAAGGGGTCGTGGTTGTTGAAAAGGGGTTCTCACCATTAATTGATATATCCAAGTGAGAAGATGTAACTGAGGTAGTAATTGATTTTAAATTGAGCTAATATCGAAAAATCAATTCACCCCTTCCCTCTAGATAGTGTCATGCACTCCACGGGTATAATCTTGAGGGAAAATTGCCTTTATTTCGCCTTCATCCAAAATGACAGGCGATAATTCTGGTTGAGATTTATACTGATAGTTATCTTATATATTTAGAGAGAATGAAATGTGACTGTGTAAATTAATGGATAATTTAAAAGTCGATACAAAAATTTAGACTTATTTGAAATAAATTATATTAAGGAAACTTATTTGGCCATAAGTACATTTTTTTGAAAAAAAAAAGGCTAAAATGTCATTTATTACTCAATTACTCTCTCTCTCTCTCTCCTTCTCTTTCTTCATTACTCTCTCACTCTCTACTCCCCTATTTTCTCTCTATCCATCTATCTTCTCTCTCACACATTTATAATTTTTTTTAATATATAAAGATTTGATTTAATTTTTTCATCTATCTCCCCTATTTTTTCTCTCTGTCTCTATCTCACTCCCTCTCCCCTCATTTCCTTTTTTTTCTCTCTCTCCCTCTCTTTCCTTATATCAACGTTACAACAACACAATTATACAAATCAATTACACCAATTAATTATAATTACCTTATAATATACTAAACAGTTACACTAAATAATTACATGAAATTACAATAACAACCCAATTTGTCATTTAATTATTTACATAAATCAAAAAATTACACTATTTAGTATCAAGATATGGTTACATCAATTATATATATCAGATTGAGTTTATCATTACACAAAGATTTTACCATTATACTAAATTTGGTATATATAATTGGTGTAATAATGTCGCGGTGCAAAATAGTGCAACTATTTATTTTATGCAAAAAAACTGAATGAAGAATTAGGTTGATGTCATAATTTTGTATAACTGTTTGCTTTATTAGAACGTATGAATAACTGTTTGGTGTATTATAAGATAATTGTAACTAATTTGTAAAATTGATTAATGTAATTTTATTATTGTAATGTTGATTTATATATATATATATATATAGAGAGAGAGAGAGAGAGAGAGAAATGGTGAGAACAAATAGGAAGAGAGAGAGAGAGAGAGAAAATAGGGGAAAGAGAGATAAAAAATAAATCAAATCTTTACATATTTGAAAAGAAAATAAATTATGAATAGTAGATAGAGAGAGAAAATACAGGAGTGACAGCGAGAGAGCAATGGAGAGAGAAATATTGAGAGAAAATAGGAGGAGAGAGAGATAGAGAGAACAAAAATTATACATAATTTAAGAAAGGGTAAATAAGTAAAAAATTTTAAATGTCATTCGAATTTTGTACATAATCACAAGAAGTTTTATTAAAATTAAACTTAATAGTGTAAAATATTTATTCATACACTTTCTCTCAAATAAGTCTAAAATAATGTACCTACACTAAAAAAACCCCTCAATTAATTGACTTGTTTAGTTCTCGTAAGGCTACACTAAAGGCCCATGAAGTTTGCGTGTGATGTAGGGCAAGTCATGTAAGGCCAGACTAATTAATGAACATTTCTGTAACTTAAGTTAAGTGGATGCCAACATGTAGATAAATAAGCTTATATGTATATGTATTAGGGTAGAGTTAGATTTGATTGGTGGCGGATTCCTTTAAGTAGTGTGCATGAGGGAAGAAGAGAAAGAAAAAGACAGAAAGAGATAATAGGTTTGCCAAACCAAATGGTGGAAAGAGGTCTTGACTAATTGTGAGAAGACCACAAGGAGTTCAAGTGTGGTTTAGTGAAGAACCGTAAGAAGAAATTCCTTAGACCCAATGATTCAATTGTGTATTTTGCCCAATTCTGATTAGAATTAAAAGTATTGTTCTTGGTATATGGAATGGCTTCGGTATCAAAGGTAAATGGTTTATCTCACAATATGTATCTTTTGAATCTTTTTGCAAAGAGTGTGTTCATTGATACCATCGTAATCGTATTCTAATTATTGTATCATTGCTGTTTTTGAAATTTCGTATGACTTTCCTTTCAATCATCAATGTTTCAAAACACTCTTGATTCATTTGATGTCTCATCAATTGTTGTGATGAAAAGATTGTCATTGGTGAATTGTCTTGGGACCAATCGACACAGGCACCAGTCATAGTTGGTGATATGATTATGGTTGTGAGATGTGATTATGGCCCAGGAATATATGTGATAGTGAAATACACCAAGTGACACATAGCATGTTGCCTAGACGGATCAAATATGAAGTCATAAGCAATTTAAAATATTCGAATAATGAGTTTTGTGTGACAGGTCTAATATTAATGTATTAATGTTTTGAAAATATAGTTTTAATCTTTGCTTCCGCAATTGATCGTTAGTTGTTAGACTATAATTTGATCCTCCTTATTCTGTATATTGTATTTTAAATTCCTTACTAGGCTTCCCAAGGTCACCCCATTTACGCCTCTTGAATGCATGTTTAGTTCATTATGAAAATTGATAGAGGATCGGAATAAGTGAATAATTTGAAACTATAATGATTTATTAAAATAAATTTTGTTTAAATACTAAACGCACTGGTGCAATCAACGGTGCTTAAATATTAAGGTCCATTACTATTGGCCTCTCAAATATAAGTGAACTTTTTGTTTTCGGGTGAATATAGCATCAGTGAACTTAACATAAAGAACTGTTAGTGTGAGTGATTGAAGTTTGATTACAAAAAAAAAAAAAAAAAAACTTAGGATAAAGAACTTGCATTTTCCACTTCCATTCATAGCATCTTGAGATTCTAAAATTGTGCGGTGTATGCTTTAATACTATATATAACGTAACCTGTATCTAAATATCTGGAAAGGCCAGAAGAAAATTTGAACACCTGGGTTCTATCTTCATCTATAAGGTACCAAGCCACAAAATATATATATATATATATATATATATATATATATATATATTTTGTGGCTTGGTACCTTATAGATGAAGATAGAACCCAGGTGTTCAAATTTTCTTCTGGCCTTTCCAGATATTTAGATACAGGTTACGTTATATATAGTATTAAAGCATACACCGCACAATTTTAGAATCTCAAGATGCTATGAATGGAAGTGGAAAATGCAAGTTCTTTATCCTAAGTTTTTTTTTTTTTTTTTTT